CTCTAACTGTAAACCTGTGTTATTTGCTGTTTTACTTCAAAGTTGGTATGGTGCTTTGCTTAAAGAAAAAGGAAATACAAATAAAAAATCCAAGCTCTATATGCTGTAATATAAATCTCTGTGATTGGTCAATAACCCAGTTTTGGACTAGATTCCTATTCTCGTTTGCGTCAGTTGTGTTTTCAACTTATAATTTACCAAATACCTTTTATTTCCAAACTTTGATCACCCTTGCTTTTGTAATCTCCTTCTTTGGAAATTTAAAGTCTTAGCCCAAGGCAGTCCTCTTTGTTGACACCACACTTTGTCTTCCTACTGGGAGTCAGTTTCCCCTTCTCCCACAATCCTGCCATACTCTGCCCATTTATCTATTCAATTACTTGCCACGAGCTGGCTTATTCTGAGGCCTGGTAGGCAGCTACATTTTTCCCCACACCAGGCTCTCATAATTTTGAATTCATGAACTACATGTGTTTTCCTTTCTTTTTTTTTTTTCTGAAAGGCTGAACACAGTTGTGCAATGAATGAATTTGAGAATGAAGAAATTAATCTATGTTTAATAAATGAATACATGTTGAATAAATAAATGCAAGTCACTTAGATTACATGTAAGAGTCCTTTTTTTAGGTATTTCAACCTTAGTAAGCCTTCAGGATAAGAGTACCACAAACAAAAGTATTCACACTGACTTTGAGTTTTACTGAATGTGAGTAGGTCAGCGTGGTTAAGAAGCCTGTGCTCTGCTTCTCATTCAGAAAATTAGCTTTTTCTTTTTAATCATTTGGCTTTGATATTATTTTCAGTTTGTACAATGGTCTTACACTTAATGGTGAGAACATGCATGCCAAACATTCATTTATTCAAATTATCAACTAAGTTGATTTGTCTTTTTATTAAGGTGTTAATAATAAATTATACACTTTGAAAGGTTAATTTTATGAACAATGACAGTATGTAGTCACTCACTTGGTACAACAAATTCCTTTATTTAACAAAAATATCTTAGTCATCTAGCACATTCCAGGCACTGTGCTATTAAATAAAATTTACGGGAGGTCAGTGGTCTGGACTGAGGTTCTACACTTGGCCCCAGCAGGCCAACCCAAAATGGGTCGCTACATTTTTATGTTACCATACCAAAACCTAAGAGAACCAGTTTTGTAAGATCTGACTTTCCAAGAAACCAGGAGAGAGTTGATAGCCAAATCTTCAAGCAGCCAATTAAAAAAATGAAGCAAAACAGGAGGTTCACATCAACCAGTCAAAAGGGGTTCAGTTAACCTAATCCAGCGTGATAAGAAAATCCCCTTTGTTTTATCTGGTAAAAGTAACCTGAATAACTTGATATTATTCAATCTACTTTTGGTCTACTCTATTTTCATGTGTTTGGTCAACCTGTTTTACAGAAAGTGACTAGACTACTATGCCCAGTGGAGCTTCTGTCTGTTTTGTGGACTGGATGATTCCTGGTTCAAGGATTACAAATAAAAACTAATTAGGTCTTTACAACTCGTTTTGTTGAAAATGTGTTTTTGACACTGAAATATCCTGGAGAGGTAAAGTTGAATACAGATGAGGTCACATACAGAGGAGGTTACAACTTTTAGTAAGATGGACTAAAGTGTAAATAAGTCATTGTAAAAAATACAACAAATTCAAATGAAAGGAAAAGTGGCTTTGCAGACAATAGCATGAGAAAGTAAGTACCAGTAACCGGAAAGGTGAGAAAAGAACTCTTGAATCTCCAGACTTCTCCGCGATACTCTATCAGAGTAACTGGATGCCTTAGCAGATTTTAAGGGAGTTTAGAACTGTATCAATATAAATAAACAAATACATTGCTTTAGAGGGAATTGTTTGTTAAATTAGCTTCACCTTTTGTCTTCTGAGAAAGACGAATGGTGAGCAGCAGTAGCCCACAGAGGGGAGGCCGAGTGTACCTGGGCCCTGCTTAGGGAGTTGACTGATTCTGAATGAACACTGGACACCTGTGTCTTAGTTTAATGAGGTCTACCACTCGAAGGAAATGATGTCCCATCCAAAAAGAATGGCAACTGCCAGGGAAGGTTAGAGGAGTGTTTGCAAACTTATCATTTGATAATTTTCCCGAGCACAAAGCTATCTGTTAGGAAATGATTTTGATTACTTAAGAACTCTATTCAATCATAATTTATACAACTAGAAGACATGCCAACCCCTGGCCAACACACACAAACACACGAAACACACAACACAGAATTTTGGGTGCACTGGTCAAGCAAGGCAAGAGGAGAAATGCAAACTCACAAAAGTCCCTAAATAAAACTGAAAAACTAGCATCAGAATGCTTCAAAATTCTTCCATTATCAATCAGAAAGTTTTCTGGCCCTTAGTACTGCAGGAGAAGGATCTACGGTGGAGTGCCTTCAAATTTCAAAGAAGAGACAGATAAAGAGGGCTTCATATCTAGGAAAGTCTCCCTGCACTTCATGTTTTTGTTTTTTTCCATGTAAATAGGAACAAAAAAACCCTACTAATTCTTATAAGAGGAATATGAACAGACACATTAACAATAGCGAACAAAGGCAATTCACTACCTATATGTCTTTTTCACATCTCACAGTGTCTGTTAATATTTGGAAAGACACTCACTTATTTATCATGAAGGGACATTTCCATGTATTCTTTTCTTTTAATCAACGTTAAATTGTATGGTAAATAAAGAACAGGACCAAGGACACAGCTGGCATGACAATTTCTGTGCTTTCTCACCAAATCAGAATGGCTGACATGGAAAACAGAGTATCAGATGGTGGAATAGCTAGAAAGGCACATCATTTGCTCAAGGTCATAAGAATTTCAGCAACACAGCTAGAAACAAACAAACAAAAAAACCCAGACCTTGAAGCTAAATGATATTGTTTATATGTACCACTTCATTGAGGAATAAAGCTTCAATTAAATTATTATAGGATAATTATAGCCCTAGTTCTTTATTAGAGTCGATCATGGAAATGATAGTTACATTGGAAGAAAGGCAGGTAGCCTGCTTTGCCCGACTCTATCGTAGGAAAGGTGAGGACCACATTAGAGTATGAGACTGAAATGAATACTTTGTGTCCCTATGTGCCACCCTGAGTAACTCTGTTGAATTTTTTAGGCATTTGATATATAAATATGGGTACAACAAGGTCTGTCAAGTTGACACTTTAGGTGGATTTCTCTGATGTCAGTGTATAGGATGAATTGAGGACTGTGAAAAGGAACAGAAGGCAGAGAACTTGTATTCAGGGAGAAAAAGTTAAAGAGCTACTTCAGTTATGGAGGTCAAATACTAGAAGAGGTAATGCTAAAATTAGGACCTGGAGAGTGGTAACGCTCCCTACAAAGGTAGGGAACACTGTTGACTGGATTTTGGGGATGAGGGTGATGTACTTCTGGACATACGAGGTTAAGATATAATTAGGGTTTTGATGGAGACATCCCAAACACAGTTAGAATCATTTCTGCAGCTCAAAGAAAAAATTGTGTCCAGAATTACGAACTTGGCAGTTACCTATAGAAAGGTGATAAATTGACCTATGGCAGTGAATGAGTGGACAAAGAGTAAAAACATAAAAAAGTGGGAATAGAATAATCAGACAAAGTTTCATTTAAAACCTGATGGATGGTCTGTAAAAGAAAAAATACAAATTGGATCCCATCAAAATTTAAAACTGCTGATCTATGAAAGATACTATTAAGAAAAATCACATGCTAGAGAAAAATATTTACAGAATATTTATATGATAAATGACTTACATCTGGAATATGTAAAGAATGCTCAAAACTCAATAAAGAAATAAACACCTATGTATAAAAATAAGCAAAAGACTTGAACACATACTTTGGCAAAGAAGATATACAGATGGCCAATAAACACATGAAAAGGTAATCTCTTCTCAGATAAGTGTTTATAAAACAGTAGACTGACAGCAGCACAGACGGAAAATAATGTAATCGTAATATCACATACCTGTGTGGTACTTATCACTGGTCAGATACAGTGTTAAGCACTATATAACTATTAGCTCACTTAATGGGTTAACAAAATAGGATTTTAATTAAGTATTTACTGATAAAGAAACTGAGGCACAGAGAGGTAAAGGAATTTGCCCATGGTCAGAAAGTTGGTAAGTGGCCAATTCCAGATTTGAACACAGCAATCTCGCTCCAGAGCCTGTGCTCTTGGCTATAACAATTTGAAGCCTCTCCAGAAACCAGCAAGTTTATATTGAGTGTCTACTCTGTACACACAGTGTAGAGCCACAAAAAAATTGGTTAAATATAGTTCCTTTCCAAGGGGATCTTAACATCTAGATAGAAAGACAAGCTTATGTACACCAAACACTTGTCTGCATCTAATAATGATTCAAGCCTTAGAAAATAGACAATAAACAGGTCGAACATCATCATGTTGATTGAAAGACAGGATCTTATTATGACAATTAGGAATTACTGAAAACATTATAAAACCTCTGTAGTTGAAGTTCTTTCGAGAAAAAGACTGCAAAGCTTTATAAGAAGTCAAACAGGGAATAATAGTTTGGACATTTAAAAATACTCTTCTACAATCTTTTATGCTACTATAATTGTCAGTACAAATGTTTATCAATTATCTCTTTCATGCTTGATAGAGTCCTTCTGATTTAGGCTGTTTCTAATAACTTAATGTAAACAAGCATTAGCCTTGTCCAAACATGACAATGATCTAATTCAATTACCTCCCCCCATGTTAAACCTGCAACTGTCAATGAGCTGAACAATTCCTGTTAGCTGAGTGTTATTTCAGTAACACTGAAAACCCATCCTTAGGAGCCCTGAGTTACTGTTCTGTTTTGTTTTTGTTTGGCTTTTCCATTTTCCCAGAATGAAAACTGCAATAGAAGAGTGATAAAATGCAGAAATATAAGCAGAAGAAATCCTTATTAATTAATTGACTTTGATTAAAAGAAAATAGTTATCTTTGAAGTTGTACCTACAGAAGTCATCCTGTGAGACACAGCAACTCCTGTGAGGTCTCAGATTCACTCCATTCTAGCAGCCCAGCCTGAAAAGGGGTCGAATGTGTGTGTGCCACTAATAACTGTGACTCTGCAGGAGGTAGGCAGGAAAGAGAAAGGAGAGACACGGAGAGTGAGGAAGGGAAATGGAGAAAGAATCAGAGGAGGGAAGAGATAAAAATTAGAGAGAGAGAGAGACTGTGGGAGACGTGAAAGAGTGAAGAATCAGAAGGAAGGAGGGGGAGATGCAAAAGCCAGATTTTTATTGGAAGCAATTGAAGTGGTTGCTATGAGACCCGCTCGAGCGGAGGACCAGCAGCCAGCCCTACGCTGATGGTTCTTACCTCGTACTAAAACCTTTGCTTTGACACAGTTTTAGAGTTGCTTAATATTCGAGCAAGCACCTGACACGGGTGACTTTTTCCTTCTTCTTTTTTTTTTTTTTTTCCTCCAGTCCCTCGGGTAAGATGGAGGTAGAAAATGAAGCCAGCTGCTCCCCAGGCAGTGCATCAGGCGGGTCCAGAGAGTACAAGGTGGTAATGCTGGGATCAGGGGGAGTTGGTAAAAGCGGTAAGTTTTCACACCAAATTCTGGGGAAGGAGAGACCTCTATAGAGACAACTCTATAGAGTGAAAGAAAAATAATATTGCTGATGCTGTTAGAGGTGAACTGAGGCAGTTAAATACAGAGTATCGGTCTGGCAGGATGCTCGGAATTGTCAGAACCGTTAAACCGATGCTGATGAGTCAGGAGAAAGCAGTCAGGCAGTGATGATCCACAGAACTTTAAGAGGATAATTGTTTTCTTTGATTTCATGCTGGGTGTTATTTGCTGTTAGTATATAGGTATTTTTAATAATAAAAATATGTATGAAATTGTCATGGTATGAGAACAATGTGCTCCTGTTCTCAAAAATCTTCACATAAAGAAAGAAGTGCTATAAATATTCAATTAAACACACAGTTATAAACACAGACATATACTCAGGACAATCAATGCTAATTGCTGCTTATTTCTGTCATTAGGAGGTTATTTTTCCTTGTCTGTAGTCTGACAGTATGTGTGGGCTTTGAATACCAGAAGGAAAGTTGGCTTTTGAAAGTGGCAGTGATTTATGGAATGATATTCATTGTGAGTCCTGTGCAGGGTGATCAAACTAAACTTTGTGGTTAATTAAAGGAGAAAACTGCACAAATAAATGAAGATGAGGTGATAATAAAGATGAAGAATAGTAAATTTGTTGTGGTACCTAAAGAACAGAAGTGTCAGTTGTTGGTATTCTTGAGAAACCTAAAAGGCCAAATACAACAAATTTTTTAAAAATATATACATAGTAGTTTTTGAGGCTGATCGAATGTTAGACAGCTCAGAGCTATCACTAGAAATAAATAAATACAGCTTTTTATATAAATATTAAATATCTCCACTAGGAATATATCTTTGGGGATGCTAAAAGGCAGAAGGAATATTATAGTTAACATGGAAAAAGTATCAAAGCAATTCAATAGTTTTAGTGTTGATAAAAACGTTGACAGTTGAAGACAACATTTTTGGCAAAAGAAATTATAAAACTAACAACTTTGGTGGTGGGTTCACAAGGGATAAGAAAACTGAACAGTGAAGGAAGAGGAAGGAGATTTTTACTTTAGTGGACAGCAAAGGTAAAGATAGCCAAAAACATAACATTCATCACCCCCCACTCCTTCTCCTCCCCTCTACAAAAGAGAATTCTCATAAAAATAAAAGAAATTGGTATATATAATTGTGGTCAGTAGCACAATGTTTATCAAAGTAAAAAGAAACTATTCATCTCTCCTGGGGAGGGGAAAATGTAAAATGAAAAACTTTCTAACTGTGTATGAATGAGGAATTTTTAAAAAGCCTTTGCCTTCTAACATAATGATTTGAGAAGAAAGGAATCAAAATGGGAGAGGATTTAGGAGAGGAGGGAGGGAAGAGAGGAAGGATAAGGACAATGTGGTCTATATAAAATAAAGTTATACTTTACAAGAATCCAGTTAGATACAGTGAGGAAGAAAGAAAGAAACAATGTGAGAATAAAATACCGAAGCAGAGAGGAAAACAGATCTATAAAAAAAAAAAAAAAACAGGCAAAAGACCAATCCACAGAAAATGCTACCAGCAGCTTTTGAGGTCAGGGAGATGCTGAAATAGTCCCAATAATGTGCCTCTGTATTGCTTTTGTTTGCTGGCTAGGTATTTGCTTTTTCACCAGGAGGTTGGGGGATGTGGGGATAGAGTGACTGGTTTTTAGCCTACTTTATTTTATTCCATGGAAATGAAACCTGAAAGAAGAGATGTTGGACAGGAACATCCTTCAGCAACACACTTTTCTAGTGATAGTGCTGATATTATAGCGGTGATATTTTGTGTTCTATTTTGATCTCTCCCCAGTATTATTTGTGCTGACTGATCACTGTTACTGTTCCAATGACTATGGATTTTCAATATGACACGTGACCCACAGAGTGGTCTGGCTTGCTCTCATCTTCGAGTTGTACAATAGAAGTCAGTTCATAATTAAGTACTTAAACAAAACTTTTCCAGTGAAATGAAAAAACAGGAATTACCACCTCATTCCCTGAGAATGTTACGGATAAACAGTGCAAATAGCTCAGTTGTATTGATTATGTATAAATGGCAAACTTGACTCCTACACCAGAGAGTATTTCTCATACTCCAATCTCACACCTGAAAAATGCCTAAGTGTTTGAAATCACAGTGATAAAACCATCTGTTCCTTGGACTTTTCTCCTGTGACTTATCTGATGTTATTATATAAGTACATAAACATTCAGGCACTGATTCTCAATACTAACCTTCTATTAAAATATTTGCTTTCAATTAACTAAAAATATACATGGTTTATTTTGCCTTATTAAAGCCCAGGCTGGGGTGCAGTGGCATGATCATGGCTCTAAAATATGTATTTTAAAAGCTACTTTTTATGTTGAAGACTTAGATGAACAGAGGTATATGATGGGATTGTACAACCCCATTACCATGGGTTGTGTGAAGAGATTTCCAGGAGAGATCTGCTCTTCTAAAGAAACTAAAGAAGATGCATGAAGCTATCATCTGTTTCCAATTTCAAGAGTCAGGTCCAAGTCACCCTTAAACATGGATTAAAAGCTCAATTTATCGTGACTATAATTTTTAAAATCTTAAAGATTGCTATGCTTATTAATATTAATTTTTTAAATATTTTCTTTTTGTAGAGATGGGTTATCACTATATTGCCCAGGTTGGTCTCGAACTTCTAGCCTCAAACAATACTCCTGCCTCAGCCCCCGCAAAGTGCTGGGATCATGATGCCTGGCCTGAGAAAAGTTTTTATCTATGTTTTCCTAAAATATATTTTTTTGAATAGAAACTTCTAAAAGAATTTGCAACTTTACTGAAATAGGAATTTCCACAATATTTAACGTATGTCAGTTAATAAATGTACTGCATGTGATAAATTTTAAACCACAAGTAATCAATAAAGTTTATCGAACATGTATTATGCACAGTCCTATTACTAGCTGCTATAGAGAGGAAAGATGAAGAACATAAACATTTATGAAGCCCTCATTACATGACAGGTATGGGCTACATGTACTTTATGCTTATACTCAGTCCTCACCACAGTCAGAGTCGGTATTTCCATTTCACAAATGGAAAAACAGAAGTCCAAAAAATAACTTGTGCCTGGTCATGGGGGTAATATTTTAGAGTTCTGTGATGTTTTATCTAACTCGACTACATTATGTTTAATGCTTTGAGAAGAACAAAGAGTTGCATCACTCACTATTAGAAGAAAATAGATCTATTGGCAATGCATTTCCTAGATCTCAAATGTTATAATTAGAAGAGATCTTAACCATCTAGACTATCACTTTCATTTATGCATCTATACCTCTTTAACCTTTAACCTAATTGAACACTATGCATAATCCTTCTGTATAAATATAAAACAAATATTTATCTTTGTATTTAAATTTTTATATGTAATATTGTTCAAGAGCATTACTAACTACAGGGAAAACAGGGATACCCAAGTATTATTTGTAAAATGGCCAAACTGAGGCCTTGAGAGTTGAGGAGACCTGCAAAGGCCATTTATAAATCAGTGGCAGAGTCAGATCCAGAATGCAGCCCTTCTGACATTATTGAAACAGCTTTTCCATCACTCTCCAATTTTTACACAGTGTAAGCTGAATCAAAACTGCACCATACAATGTAAAGGATATGTATACAAAGTAGCAGGTGGGCAGGAGTAACACGTATAGAGATCTAATGTATAGGATGAGGACTATAGGTAATAATATTTTATTTGGGGTTTGTGCAAACTAGTAGATTTTTTTTTTATTTTTATGGGTACATAGTAGGAGTATATATATATATATATATGTGTGTGTGTGTGTGTGTGTATTTATGGAGTACATGAGATATTTGGATACAGACATAGAGTGTGTAATAATCACAACAGGGTATGGCATATCCATCACCTCAAGCATTCATCATTTATTTGTTTTACAAATATTCCATCATATTTTTTGTTATTTTAAAATGTACAGTAACTTATTGGTGACAATAATCTCCCTGTTGCTATATCAAATGTTAGACCTTATTCATTTCATTTGATTATAATATTATAGTGATTACCCATCTCCAGTACCTCTTCCTACTACCCTTCCCAGCCTCTGGTAACCAACATTCTACCATCTCCAAGAATTAAATTGTTTTAATTTTTAACTTCCACAAATGAATGAGAACATGCAAAGTTTGTCTTTCTGTGTCTGGCTTATTTCACTTAACATAACGATCTCCATTTCCATCCATGCTGTTGCAAGTGACCAGATCTCAGTCTTTTTTAAGGCTGAATAACAATCCATTGTGTATATATCACATGTTCTTTATTAATTCTTCTGTTGATGGATACTTAGGTTGCTTCCAAATCTTGGCTATTATTTATAGTGCTTCATAAATTAGTAGATTTTAGCTGCCATAGCTGCCAACCCCCATAAAAAGTGACTATGTGAAATGATGGATATGCTAATTTGTTTTCTATAGTAAAGATTTTAGTGTCTATATGTCTTCCATAACATCATATTGTATACCTTAAATATAAACAATAAAGTTTATTTTAAAAATCATGAAGTTAAGACTCATGATGAGAAAACAACTTAAGAAACAACATACATATATATGTATACACACACACACATTCAGTGAAATAACATCAAATGACAGTAGAATAGAAACTTATATGTACAAACTGTGATTACAACTCAAAACAAAGGAAAACAACAAAAAAGAGCAATTATTCAATAAATTTTAGTATGTTAGGCACCTTCTTTTAGCTGTCTATCTCATTTTGTTCCACTGGTCACCACCTACCCACCTTCCAAAAATGAAACTAAAAATAATCTCATTGTTACAGTTTTAAAGTTTTATGGAGTCTAAACAATCCTTATAACAGTTTTAAATATTGACTTTGTCACTGTGTTTTGAAACAGCAAGGCTGTTCCTTAATGACAGAGCATGCATAAATGTTGCTCTCCTTG